ATTTTCAACACAGTAAATTTAACAAGGATAGTTTTTGAGAAGAAAACAAAATGTCAGTACATTTTATAATCTACAGCATTGCTTCTGTGGAAAATGAGTTGGCAACCTGTAAAAAAGAAAATTGAATTAAATTCAAGTGTAAATGACTGTGAATGTGTGCGTATAATGTTTGTATATAGACATTTCTATAAATATTTTGTCACTGAGTAACATTGGCATCTGAGATATTTCCCAGCTGTTCTTCAGTCTGTATATTTTAATCTATATATCATTTAATCTCTCTTTAATGGAACACTTATGCTGTGTGTTTGTGTTTTCCAAAAGTTTATAGCATTTAAAGATATAAAAGTGGTTTCCTAAAGCTCATTAATACCAATAAGATTTATGATTGAGACATTTCAAAACTTGCGTTTACTCCTTTTGTGTCTATTTCCTCATATATTTCCAATTAAATCATCTTATTTTATTTTATTTTATTTGGTTTTTTCTTTAGACAGAGTCTCACTCTGTTGCCCGGGCTAGAGTGCCGTGGCATCAGCCTAGCTCACAGCAACCTCAAACTCCTGGGCTCAAGTGATCCTCCTGCCTCAGCCTCCCGAGTAGCTGGGACTACAGGCACGTGCCACCATGCCCGGCTAAATTTTTCTATATATTTTTAGTTGTCCAGCTAATTTTGTTCTATTTTTAGTAGAGATGGGGGTCTTGCTCTTGCTCAGGCTGGTCTCGAACTCCTGAGCTCGAACGATGCACCCGCCTCGGCCTCCCAGAGTGCTAGGATTACAGGCGTGAGCCACCGTGCCCGGCCTAAATCATCCTATTTTATGTTTAACCACTTTCTAAATAAATATAGGTTATCAGGATGAGAAAGACCTTAAATAATCAGATGAGAAAAACAAAGCAAAATGATTATCAAAGTGTTATTCTATTGGCAAAATAAAATGAAATCCTGAGTCAATTAGTCTATGTATGCCCTAATCTTTGAAATAATCCAAATAAAGCAATTTTTTCTCAACTCCAGAGAGAATCTTTTAATAAATTGATAAAATCATGGATTAAATTCTATTTCATATTATGAATACTCTAACACTTCGGTGTTACAGCCACAAGTATTTTTTTTTCCATGTAGTATTAAACTATTTTTTGTTTACATTTTGTAAATGCCAATGTACATTTGTAATATTATAAGTTTGTTTTCCATTCTGTTCTTAGTTCCTTGAAAAAAATAAAAAAATTAAGAATATATTTTCTCATATTCCTCATGTGAACATAATTTATCAAGTTTCTTCTGAAACAAGAGTTAATACCAAACACAGTTTGCAAATTCAAGTTTCTAATTATGTTCCATGAGCACATTAAATTTTTCCTTCGCTTTCCCAATATTTGTATCTTTTTATTTCATTCTTATCTGATGGAATTGGCTACTGCATTAAGAACTACATTAAATAAGTGAGAGTGTATCCTTATTTTGTTTCCGACATTAATAGAAATGCTCCAAAGTGTTTCACTATCAAGCCTGCTGTTGTACTAACTTTGTTTGAGACCATTACATAAATAATGTCAAGAAAGGATTCATCTCTTTTTATAACATCTTCTTTTAATAGATCAGAAATTGATGTGGAATTTTACCAAAAGCATCTATTGAAATTATCATATAATTGTTTTTCTAATGGTGAACTATTTTAACGCACAGCCTAATGTTGAACCATCCTTGAGTTGCTGAAACAAATCTCACCTAGTGGGGTCATATAATTCTTTAAATATACTGATGAATACTATTTACTAATATTTCTTTTAAATTTTTGCATTGATATTTATAA